TATATCATTAGCCGCTGTGCGGCTGCTGGCTGGGCCCGAAAGCAGGACGAATGAGTCCTCTAAGCGATCAGTGCGCGCCTATCTGCCGCCTATGCCCTAGACTACTCCACGAAACCCTGTCCTCATAACCAACCCCCCGTATTCCCACGACTCACTTGTACGACACGACAAGCGCGTTTTAAATTGTTTCCAGTTCTCTTATAAATGTATTAGCTCTATGAGAATTTATCGAAAGCATATGTATGCTCGCTAAACTCGGCTTCTGAACTGCATTCTATATACAAAAATATATAGTGGAAGTTTAATTTACCTCCAAGCACAGTTTGTTTCCACAAAACTGTCTACTTGCTTCTGTAACAGTAGCCATGAATTTTCCATGGAAATCATGGTACGCTAGGCCCGCCAGCAGGTATGACTGCTTACTACGACACATTCCATCGCGACATAAGACTGACTCCCACGCAAATATAATTAGGCCCTTCCCGCGGTGGTATAATCCGTAGCGCACCTTATATACATTTGGCCCCGGGTTTGTGTTTTACGGATAGGGTTAGGGTTAGGGTGGGAGTTAGAGTTAGTGTAAGGTTTAAGGTGAACGTAAAGGTGAGGGTTAGGGTAAGTATTAGGGTAAGCGTTATGTTTAGGTCTACGCATGAGGAAATGTGTAGAGAGTCATGCATAGCAAACTACATAAGTTCGATAAGTCTTTTCTTGCCGTCCCACAAAATCGATTACTTTTATAGTAGTGCCATAGCCTGAAAGCTATTGTAGGAAACAAGCCTCCATTTCATGGTTATAATTTAACTATTTGCCACTCGGAATTTACTGTGAGACCACCTGTTTTACCGTGTTATACCCGCCTACCCGCCTCATACTACTGATTATTGGAATAGCCCGTCTTCGATTGATCGTCTTTCGGTTATGCGATGTGATTCGACATAGACATTTGAGACCGGACAAACTACAACATACGTTCGAACGCCTCACGGCAGCTAACATAAGTTGATGAATTCTTCAGGATCCTAATTCCACGTACAAAGCTCAACCTTTCAGCGCTCGTGATAGCTCGTACATTCGCACCAGTGTCTGCTGACCCCCATCCAGTCTGACCAATCATCTCTCTGAGACTGACTCACACATGACCTGGCTTAAGGCGCTGTGACGAGTTCCGCGCTCTCACACTTGGGACGCAGCTCTTGTGGGTGTCTCTAATCAGACTGCTGCGCTGAATCATGTTGCTTTT